TGATATGGAAGGAGTGTGTAACTGAGATAAAAATGCTTAAGGAATTTAAATCGGGAAGCCTGTGGTGAAGGATAAACTTGGCAGAAACAGGTACAGATCGATGGAAGATAATTAAGATGAATTTTTGAGAGGTATGGTTTGACTGGATCCCAAAATAACGTCCAGGTTCGGACTCTTGTGGCCACGGTAATGAATCTTTGGATCTCATAAATTCCGTGGAATTTCTTGACCAGCTGAGCGACTATCAGCTTCTCAAGCAACGTTTAGCTCCATGAAGTAAGTTACGCTGGAATACCGAAACTTGCTTTTGTGTTGAAATCGGTTTACATTTTCCCTCCTTTTTTTCTATCCTCATTTATCATTCCCTTTCTCTCCTTTAATTCCTTCTTTCCTTTCGTAATTACAGTAGCAACAGATTAACAATAATATCTGTATATGTCAGAGGTTTAAATTTAATATTTTTGCTGGCCGAAGGCCGTATTTTGCCTGACTCCTTCAGGAAAGATAATTCTGTAGTACCTTGGGAGAAATCTCGGCTGATAAATTTAAATTCATGCTCACCTTTCCATCGCCGAAATCTATAAAACATGTAGCACCGGAGAAACAGATAAACCAATATGTGTGTGTGAAGGGTGTACTGTTTCTGAGGGTGCGTGCGTGCATACATGGGGCGCAACCTGCCAATCAAAGTGATGCCCCCTCGTGGAGAAGAGAAAACATGTTTGAGCGCCGCGCAACGGGATGCTGTGGCATTAGTCCAACATGAAGAGATACAGATGTCAGTCAAGTCGGGGTAAGAGAAAAGCGGGCAAAAGGGATACAGGAGAACAGAAGATGCGAGGAGTGTTTGCGAAATGCCATTTTCCAAGCTTTGAAAATTTAATTTCCAGGATTAATCTGTTACGTTGGAAAATAGCTCATCAAAAATTCTCTCTACATTTTAAACTGTAGATGGTATAACATTTGATTCTTGAATTGTTTAACGATCCTGTATAACACATGAAGTTATTAAAAGTTGAACGGAAGAAGATAAATCATTAGTTGTCAGTCGACGAGGGAATAATAATCAAAATTAAAAGAATTATACTTTTAAAATTTCGTATTGGTTCACAGCCACTGGACAGAGTACAATAGACAATTAATATTTCTGTTGTTGTTAATAATATTATTATTAAGAGACGCCTTCTCAACTGCAAGGCGTCCAATATTCGATTTCATCTCGTGTTTCATCTCTGGCTGTTCATGTATCACACTCGTAATATATTTTTTTTTAATTACTGAAACGCAGGTCTAAGAATATCTACCGAATTGGCACATCGAGAACGAATGGTATAAAAATGTTGGTGCGAGAATCCCCTCGCTTTCGTCCCATGCCCCTGAAGTAATTAATTAAGCATTCCAAGAGGCCGGAGTGCTTAGACGGACAGTTGGTCATCCTGAAAAGCAGTTATACCCGCCAGTTGAACCAGACGAGAGACGGCACGAGAGCTCTTGAGGGACGCCACCCAACACTCGTTTATTTTTCTCGTAATGACTTTTTCCAGTGATGAGACATCGTCAATTTGATTCTATTCAATTGACCGCAAAATTGACAATCGTGTTATGTACTCCCTGTCGCTTCTACGAGTAGCCCTTCTCCGTCAATCAATGCGTTTAAGCTTCGAGAAACTTGAATGCGGCGTTGACATGGTAAGTGCCTGACACCAGCGGGGACGTTCCTCTTACTCAGGGATTTCAGTCTTTATGAATATGCGGCTCGCGTTCTACAAAATACTAGAGTAGGCGATTTATTCATCTTTTATTATTTTCCATCTCCCACATTTTATCCTTACTAACAGACGTAATTCCATTCACGAAAACCATTCATACAGGAAAACTACAAAGTCTTTAAACACTACATGGAACAGTGTTCATTGTCTGATGTACACGACGTTTCGGAAGTTAGCGACTGTTTTCATCCTGACACATTATGATTATTAGGCATTCTTTACGTCTTGGCTTAAGCATACTAACCTCACGCGTAGGTTCTGTCCGTATGTCTGTCGCGTATTTCATCTGAATACATCGTGCTGCCATCTATCAATGGCCATAAGAACTATTAATTCTGTCTAGAACGGTTGAATGGATGTTCAATAAATTTGTCATGGACGTTGTTCCAACGGAGGCTAATTCAAACCCATACTTTACAGTTTCTTACAATCGGTAATACCAACGTGACAGTCGCTACAATTTGTGAGGCAGGACGATGATCCACTGTGATGAAATCATCACTCATTTTACTGTCATTTAAAGGTGACTGCAGGATCTATTAACGGTGCCATCTGTTACTAACAAACCAAAATAGCTATCACTAACACAGGATTTGGCGAAAAGATGAATTTAGGCACTGCTGTGTTAATTACATTGTTTTTTGTTTCCAGCTTTGTTTATGGTTAGGCCCACGTTTTTACTTCAAGATCAGAGGTGACTTAGGGTCAAACCTATGACATTTTTAACATTAACTATAAACCAGACGGTTAAGCCCAAATCTTCGCTTATTCTAAAACAGAAAATAATAAATTGTTTGTTCGTATTGTGTGCTGTGTAACCAGAAACGTCGAGAATGTTAAGTTTATCTTAGATGATGGAAAGTAACCAATATAATTGAGACATAAAATTCTTGAATACTTTCTGTATCAAAGGAGAAAAGTGCTTTGTCTTTAGGAGAAGCTCTCGTAAGAGATTTATGAAATACAGAAGGAGCAAAGTCACGTTTACAGCTGCTTCTGAACGTAGTGTGATGGAATTCATATGAAGTTGAGTGTAAAACATTGTACTCTAAGAACTTTCACTGCTATAAACTTCACATTTCCGAGTAAGTTACTTCCGTGCTACCTTATCTTAAATTTATACCAGTTCAAGGTATTTCAGCACGTTTATGTGACACAAATATACAGGACACTGTTTTCAGAGGCCGCGAAACTGAAGCAGCTTCTTCTTTGGGACTCTGTCTATCAAGTTGGAAATTCATGGCAAAGACAGCTAAATGAATTATAATGGGTAACAGGATTCCTCTGTTATAGAATATTTCACATAGTATTACGATGTATTGTATCAAGAACGCATGTATTTAATGTGTATACAATTTTTTCTCCGGGGGCTTCCCCGGTTTCTCCGTGGCATCCCAACAATTACTCCATTCACACACAGAAGAAGGCAATGGCAAACCACTTCTGGGTCATCTGCCAAGAACGTATATGAACAGGTCCCAGTCCGAGAAAAGGATGGAAGGATCCTGTTCATATGGACCTGTCGTCAGACAGAACACTAAATAATAATAAGATGAGGTGGGCTAGCGGTTAGAACGCTGGCCTTGTAATCCTGGGGGTCTCGGGTTCGATTCCCGGCGGTGCCCCAATTTATAACTTGTGTTGGGCAAGGCCGTGGTCTAGGCAACACGGAATTTTCCTCCGGGGGCTTCCCCGGTTTCTCCGTGGCATCCCAACAATTACTCCATCCACACACAGAAGAAGGCAATGGAAAACCACTTCTGGATCATCTGCCAAGAAAGTAGTCTAGGGAACACGGAGTTTTCCTCCGGGGGCTTCCCCGGTTTCTCCATTCACACACTTAAGAAGGCAATGGCAAACCACTTCTGGATCAGCTGCCAAGAACGTATATGAACAGGTCCCAGTCCGAGAAAAGGATGGAAGGATCCTGTTCATATGGACCTGTCGTCAGACAGAACACTAAATAATAATAATAATAATATACATGAACAATAGAAAGATAAATGTCTTGCGTTAGTCTTTGCGAAAGACAGTCGCTTAAATTCGGAATCTTTAGAGACTTCAAGTGCCACGAGTCCGTGGGAAAGTGAGCTTCGGGCCGTCGTGAATTTGCCCTTAGTTACGCAGCAATCATGCTCCGAATTTAATCTACCTTTCCTTGCTTCATGAATCAACTCAACATGTCACGCTTAATTCAACTCGCTCCTTAACTTTTCTTCACAAATTTCATAATAACTAATACTTTTCCTTTTTCTTGCCTTGCGGGTGGTTTCAATGTCGCATTAGTAACGGCCTGTCATGGGATATTCCATATAAGCTCTTCAAACCTACTCCCCCCTTTTTCATTGGTTACAACTCATCACAATGCAGTCTATTGTGTACTCTGTGCTATAAACATTTAGCCTTGACAAATACATAATCATACAAACAATTGTAAGGCATCAATAGATTTCGAAATTATGCTGAAATGGTATGAGAACACAGGATATAGCATACCGGAATTTCTAACACATAAACCATAGAAATCGCCCAATGACTTCCCACGTCTGAAACACTGGACAATAGCAATTCATCTCGATCAGGCGGGCAGTAATAATATTCCGTCGATATGCCTGGATGAACGCCATTTTAACTAGATAACGTCAATAAAAGAATAAAAAGAGATAACCCAGGGGACTCGAACCAATCTGTAGGTATAAAGAGAAAGGCCCTAGAGGTTTATTATGAGTGGGTGTTGCTGGTTATTGCATGTAATAGGCGCTCGTCAAAGCGGCTGGAAAACATTTGCAGATTGAGTGCAACAGCGACGCATCGCACAGCGTTCCTCAAACGAATACTGCAGTCCGACTGTCAACTCGAAAACCGCTAGACGGATTTTAATTATATTTTATATAAACGTCCCTTGAAAACGCGGAAATTGCATCTTAGATTTTCATAAACATACGCAGTAAAAGTTACTAGGGGACTTGGTAGGCGAGTTTACATAACACGAAGTCTGTTTGAAATAAAATTTAATGTGGAAGTTGCTTATCTTAAGACAACTAATAAAATGGATACATTGAGGCATATAATTCAGAATTTCAAGGTAAAAGACGATAAATGTACAAAACGAGATTAGTTTTTGCGGTGTTGGCCACAATTTCGAGCCCCGTTCAATTTCATTTTCTTCAATATACCTGCTACCATATAACAGAGTAATAATTGTACAAGGAAGGATAAAGCAAAACGCAGAAAAAGGAACGCTCATTTCCGGTTGCAAAACCATAACCGTGGAGATCAGGCGAGCTGTTGCACGCAGTAATGAGATTAGAGACTGAGTCGCATACCAGGCATTCATCGAAGTTTCACTACGACGCGACGCTGTGGTCCCGGAGACCATCGATCGAAACTAAGCGCTGCCTCGGCTCCATTACGCTCTGCCAAATGACGTATGTACTAGCAGAAATACCGCACTCTATTCTTAATCACCTGACTTAACAATTTGATACTCACGGTACACGTGTATCCAAGTGGAAATACAATAAGAAACCACAGGTGCGATATAACGCGACAATTATACATGAGGTAGGGTGACCGGTGAGGTCACCGTAACTACGAACAGTGATGCGAAAAAATCTTATGCGTTGAAAATTACTTTAGTTTGCGGATTATGACGAAGCCTGCATGTACGTAACTATGAAATATATAATAAACTGTAACTGGTGTTTATATGGTATGCTGGTTATTAGATTATTTTATAAAACTGGTAAAGTTATATACGTAATGTCAAATCATAAAAAATTTACATTTAAAATGACGTGAATAAAAATTATAATTCTCCGCGTAAAGTTGAATAAACCATCTGAAACATTATAGAAGACATTTGCATATTCGTCACCGTGACAACCTCAAATCAAAAACAGAATGGTAAGTTTGTTGGAGTCTGTGTACAGATGAGCCTATATGCTAAAACAGTGACAAAGAATTCAAGTCACTGCAGAGGCATTAATATAAAAGACAAAATGTTTCAAAATAACTTTATCTGTTTACATTAACTTTAGTTTTCGACAATTTAACGAGAAAAGAAGATAGTACGACTTAGAAATCTATTATATATTAAAATCATTTCGGTAGTGTATTACAATAATTACGAATGACGGCCAGAATATGGTTACGAATTAGTCTTTAAATTTGTAAAGCGGTTTAATATAAAACTGCATGCCTGCTTCAATATAACTTCATCCAATTTGCAGAAACCGGCCCATTAAAATTCTAATTATATCCCATATATTTGTAAATATCAAGAGGGAAAATTCGTATTCAGAATCAACTACACAAAGTTAAAAAGAGTTATTCACTATTTTTCATAATATGATGTTCATTTAATGAAATTAAATCAACTACAGAATGAAAAATATTGCTACGGATGAAATTCCATCACACATGATTTCACTCATTGACAGATTATATCCTTATTTTATTTTATCAGATACTGACCGAATCGAACAAAGTTTTAGATGGTGAAGAAGGCGGTATACTGGATCTGTAAGGACCGAAATTAAATTCGCACCTCAAATTTAAGCTTAGAACTCCAATGTAACCAAAGTACTTTTTCATTTTATTTAAATTATGCAGGATCACATGGAAACTATGAAAAATACCTACTAATATGTTTACTTACACGCATTTCTAAGCATAACGAGAATCATTCATGTAGATTCGAAGAAATCTGACTTCAAAAACCAGTTTCTGACGTTCTTAAAGAAAAGTGAATTCGCGGTAGGAAGTTACGAGGATCTTGAGTGAGCATTTCAGAGGATAGATTGTGGATCGATACAGAAATGGATGAAGGTTTTAATGGCAAGGATTAGTGTTACCTTGATGAAGCGACAGTTAAGTTTATTGCCAGATAAAGTGACGAGGGTCGCGTGAAGGCAACAGGAATAAAGGCAAAATAAGACGAACAAAGCTACATATAGAGTTAAGACTGATTTGGAAAGAAATCCATGGAAAATATCTGGGGTGTGGTAGCTAGAATTGTGATGACCTCTACAACTGGCCTATTCGTTTTTGTTTTTTTTCAGGACTTAATTAACAGTGCTTCACTTTCATTTGACTACTCGTTGGTGTGTTGCAGCATGTTCTAACGATGCCGGCCGATAACATGTTCCCTGGTCTCGCCTTACCAGGCCAGAAACCTGACCAGGTGTTAATCACCCCGTCTTCCACGGACAAACTGTTACTCCCTGTAGCCAACATCACTACAACATCTGCAACCAGTGCGGTATCCTCTGCAGCCCTCCGAAAAGTTCCACTGCTGTCACCGGAGTGGGCAGATAAAGCTGCCGTTGAGCTTAACGAGAAGCCAGAAACCGTCCAAACAAACATCAGCTCCCTCAGAAGCATGGTACTAGGTAAGACTAACAGTTACAGTAAGAAACATTTAGCTCTTTCTAAATAAAGACATTTTCACAGCTCAGAATTAATGCAGATATATCTGAAACTGAATCTTGTAGAAATTAAGCTCTCCCATGCATGATACCAAAAGAGCTTCAAAGTAATGCATAAGCATCACATATCGAAAGGTGAAGGGAATGGAAATATACTTCCATGCATTTTTTTATCCAGAACTTGATGTGAGTGGTTAGCGTATAGTTCCGGCCGCTTTATTCCGGATAAAGGAACAGACCACTTGTAATACATCGAGATAAATTGGAAGCAAAGAGTGCCGTGTATGAAGGAGTAAAGTGGTTTAACCTGTCTTGGGACTTAAGTCTGCTGAGTTCACAAACTACATAAAGCTCTGGGCCGCTTATCTGTTTGCAGCTGAGACGCATCTCCACGTGCGGACAGACGACGCCTTCCTTCTGAGATTCCTTCGAGCTCGGAAGTTCAACTGCGCCGAAGCGTTCCGCATGGTTCGTATGACGTCGTTAAACAAGTAAAGCAGAGTCCCGATTATCACACCCAAACGGGATCGGAGAACGATCGGTTAATCGAAGAAGTCGGATAACACGGTAGACTAATAAAAGACGAGGGTAAAATATCAATTCAAATTATAACTCAATTTTTCGACATTGTCAAATGAAGAAGAAACCTCGCGAACAAAAATAGTATTTAACATAATATAAATTTGTAAATGACTAAATTAATTTTTTAAAAGAAATTAGTAATGGGTATTTGCTCTGACGGGACGGCACGTCGGATAAAATGGAATGCCGGATAATCGAGACTCTACAATATGTAACGACGAAGTAAACGAAACAGAGCCCTTCTTGGGAACCTAACTGTCGCTCAGCTGGTCAAGATATCCCACCCAATTTATGCAAATCGAATATTCATTATCGCAAATAGACCCTTACAAGTCAAACAGTCTATAGGTTCTCCACAAAACAATAAACTTATCGGTTATTTTAAAATATAAACGAATTTTGATAGATTTATAACATCGACTATTTTATTTTATTTGGGGCGGGGGGTTATTTTCTTTCTGTGTGAACCACGTCTGTAGCTTAGCATATATCTAACACGAAATTCAGCTGTTAATAGGCGACCTCCAGCACATCTTGGGTAAGTGTAGTGATTTTCAATTATTTTTTATTCTGTTTTTACCTACGTCTCTTTCGAGAAGTAGACTAATAGTAATAAGGCCAGTTATTCGATTCCACGCTTCGACCTTTATATAATTCTCCCCCGAAAAAAAGATCAAGGAACTGTGATCAGAAGAACATGGAGCTTTAGCAGTTTCAATAGTAGATATTTTTTATCCATCCACTTATTCGGAAACCGGGCATACGACTGTTGTCGCTACCGAAATGTGGGAGTGCTCCATCTTGGTATAATCAGTGGACGGAGAAGAAAGACCTTCCCGTTAATAAATATTACCACATGAGGCCCTGCCTATGCTTCCGTACAGTTACAGCGGTACTACATCATGAAACTCCGGTGTCCTGAGCTGTTCAAAACTCCGCGCCCGTCGGAGAAGCAGCACATCCTGGAGATGCAAGCTCAGAACATGCTGGAAGACCGGGACAGCAACGGTCGCAGAGTGTACATATTTCGAGTAGGTCAGTGCAGCTATCTAACTTACCTACAGCACCTAGCCTTTGGCAATGAACGGATACATTTCCCGTTTATACCTCATAATCCTTGGTAGGATTATTCTAAAAATATCTGGGGACGTTGTACTGTTTTTAATCCTATTTTATTTTCTGGCAGCAGTTTCTAAAATATAATTATACAGCTTTTAATTTCCGTATAAACGAAACCTTACTCTGCGTGCGCGGTGTTCGGTGCAAAGAGCCTAACCGAAACGTAGTTTGAATTGACTTAAGCTGATTTTACCAAACACAAGACACATAATGTGCGCTCGTTTCTAACCGCACAGGAAGCATCTACACTCTTAATATAGCGGAAGACATCGTGCTTCAAACTATACATGATTCCCGTTATACACGGTGGTTTCTTTCCCGCAAATCACCGTTTATATTGAAAACGCAGAGAACTGTGAACGGGGGTCACCAAATTAGATTAGTCAGATGATGTAGTTGTGGGTAGAGGATCCCACAGGTGCAACTTCAAGCATGACAGACTCTCCAGCTGAGGCTGAAACCAAGGGTGGAGTGGAAGCTGAAAGAGCTTCTCATGACAGCCAAAACCGCGGATATGCTAAACCGCGTGTAACTGACACTGCTGTGTGTGTGTGCTTACAGAGAAGTGCGATGCCGCGAATGTGAGCATTGAGGACATTTTCCGCACAAATCTCTTGGCACTGGAGCACATCGTCCAGGAACCGGAGACACAGATAGCAGGTCTCGCCGTCATTGTGGACATGAACGGCTTCGGTTTCCAGCACGCCAAGTTCCTCTCGCCGTACTATGCCCGTCGCACCGTCGACGTCATACAGGTACCGCGGCACTTGACGACAGACTTAATCATCCTTGTCATTTTACGATTATTTACTTTTCGCTTGAAAGCAATACAGCCTTCTCAAAACAATGGACTTTTATACTGAGTCTGATTAATTTAGGCTCCATACGATCGCTTTAATGATAAGGCAGCAAACATATCTGAAACGTCGGTAAACATTTACCGGATATAAAGGTGGAAAGTAATTTTCATACCCGCAGCCTTGAGAACCTGAAATCTGACATAAATGCAGTTCACGACTAGCTCATCCCAAGCGTCGTATCACGTGGAACGTGCTGTAGTTAAAGAACTATGTTGCCATAGTAACTGTGAATAGGTTACCAATATTATTTCTGATGATGGAAAGAGAAAGTTTCTGAAACATCGACTTCCTGTGACAATAATCTGTGAGATATATTAGATAATTATGTACTCATTCTAAAACTCTTCTGAAGACGCATAAATATATTTCAACCACATGATATAAAGTTTTATTTTTACATAAAGCTAACTCATTTAGGGGCTGTCGTGTAACGAACGTCTGCCTGTCGATCCACATGTTTCATATCCGAAGCTACTAAACATATCTTAATGAAATATGTTGGTTATTACACTTAGTTCTAAACGTTACACGAAGCACAAATCTAAATTTATCGATTATTCGATATTATTTTATCGTAGAAAGTAGGCCTATTGATACATGATATAGATCTCATTACATTCTATAACTTTTATTTAAAACATTTTAGATATGTTTAATATTTTAGTGAAATATAAGTAGAATAAATTCTAATTCTGTGTCGAGTATCTACAGTGCAATTAACTTCAGTGAAACAGACCAGCAAGCGTAATACACGAAAAAGGACAGTGAGATTCGCGCTACAACAAAAGAAAGCATTTCACTGCATAACTGCATAGCTGAAATACGACACGAATCAACATTTTCATCCCTTCAACTCTGCAGGCCTCTATAAAGACAGTAACATGGTGTTTTATTTTATATCTTCCAGGAGACATTTCCGCTGAGGTTCAAAGGATTCCACGTGATAAATCAGCCGTTCTACTTTGACGCTGTGTTCGCTGTGCTGAAACCCTTCCTCAAGGAAAAGATACGAAGACGGGTAAGCAATTCTTCGCTTAGCCCTGGGCGTCTTTTCTCTGACAGCAACACCACGATTTACGGAAGATACGGATAAGACTTTGTAGTGAATGTTATTTCTTTTACAGACCGTCGCACTTTTCACTTATCCTTGGGTTGTTTTAGATATTTAATTTAAATGCTATGTACAGATATCTTCCTAACCAGAGCCTATAGTTTGTGGAATTCAATTCAGTTTAATTACACCATGAAATATAAAGTCCCATAATGAAAACAAATTAAATACAGAGGTGTTCCGAATATTTATAAGTAATATCAATAACAAAACACTAACAGTTGATACAGATTCGTGCCTTTATTTTAGAACAAACAATTGGTATTGGAGACGTTGTTGCTGTATTACTACTTGCAGGCAGAACTAATTCTATGGAGCAGAGTCCCTTCTAAGCAGCTTAGATATTTAGAAATTCACTGCCTTTTAAGGAAGTTAAAGAGTCCGCCACTGGACAATACCACAACCAAATGAATTCAGTCGAGAGTCTGACATCCTGTTTTTCTTTAAAATACATTTTATATTATCCGCCTAGATTTCCTAATTAATAACGTTAACAAACATGTCTTCCGACAAAATGTTGCAAGAATTTTTTATGGCTACCATGCAGGATACATATCCTGTCATCTCATCCTCAATGATTTGATGACTCCAACAGCATTTGGAGAGACGAAGCTTCACACCCATATGAAACGTTAAAATTATAGACATGAATATCGTGTCTCCGTTATCAGGGTCCTGTTGATGGGGCCAGTAAGCACCTCTGAAACGTCGGTCAGTTTCTACCAGACTACACGGCGTGAAATCTCATTATAAAATTATAGTTTCATATTTTAGTTATATTTTAAAGTGCAATTTTGTCCTGCATTCTGGCGATAGACTCAATATGTAGTTAATTTTCTTTACTTTAATTTATAACTAATTTCTTCTCAAGTCTGATAGAGCTTTTGAAAACTTCATACTTACTGACTGCTTTATTTTTACCTTGTTATTAGATGTGTGAATCGGATAAATATTATTTATATATTCTCGTTTGGAATTAACGTGCATTATCAGCATTTTCAATCTGCCCATGGAATGTTTATCTGCAGATCTACTTGCACGGTAGAGACTTAATCTCTCTGCACGCGTTCATCAGCCCAGAAATCCTGCCGGCAGAATATGGAGGCAGGAAGCCTAGTTTCGACAACAAGGGATGGAGATTGTCGCTTCTGGCGAACGAGGACAAGTTTGTTGGTGAGTATACAGTGTCGCTCACTCACAAAACATCGAAAACAACGAAACTTTATTCCAAGTCAATCAGTTCGTAGTAGCCTTCGTTTTCTATAACATCAGTAAATGTGTGTTAATGTTTGTTTCAGAACTGGAGACTTATGGATATAAAGTCGAAGATTTATCAGAATAGGAAGTACAATGACTCTTTACTGTGGATTCTATACCCAAGACTTGTGGAAGTCACTTCCATTCTTTTACAGAACCATTTGCAGTGAGACAGCGCGTTTAAGATGTTGAAAGAGAGGGTTACTGACATTGTTTCCTGATCGATTCAATGTATTCTTGTTCCACCTTAAACGCTTTTCATTTTTTTACCTGGATTTCGAAACAGACGCTTTAAAAGTCAGTAAATTTAGCTTAAGTTTAGTTTCATTAAGTTTCTCACTTGGCTGTGGTAAATATTACAAAATATAGATACACATATTTACGTCTTTAAAATCAATTTGCAAACTAAGTCTTTATTAATGAAGCCATTGGTGTGGGTATTACGAAGCGTGCGTCAAAAATTGACTTTAAAATAAGTTGTACATATCATTATATTAACTAAGGTATTATGGTCTTTTGGATTGTGACGCCGTGTAGTACTGTAGGTGGCTACCAATATTCCTACAGAAGGAGACCACATGGTTTCACAGCCCAGAAAACAACAACATTTTCACCTACCTCATTGCATTACTTGTATAAACGGTCTCAAAGATTATGTCGTCCCTGCTGATAAACCAGAAAAAATAATTTTTAATTTAGATACATTTCCCTGCGGGGAAAATTTTAGAATATTTGTTTAGTAAACATTCTATGAGGAGACTAAATTCCGGAAATGCTTGCTACTTCTCAGTTCAAAATATTTTGTCTTCCCGTCTGATTTCTAAGAACCTGAAAATTAAAGTATACAAAACAATAATCTTGCCTGTTGTTTTGTATGGGTGCGAAACATGGTCTCTCACTCAGAGGGAGGAACACAGATTGCAGGTGTTTGAGAATCGGGTGTTGGGGAGGATATTTGGGCCTAAGAGGGAAGACGATGGGGCGTGGAGAAAACTGTACAATGACGAGCTTAAAAATCTGTATTGCTCCCCCAGTATTGTGAGGGTGATTAAGTCGAGAAGAGTGAGATGGGCGGGACATGTAGCGCGCATGGATGGGACAAGAGGTGTGCACCGGGTACTGGTTGGGAAACCTGAAGGGGAGAGACCGCTGGGGAGACCTAGGCGTAGATGGGAGGATAATCTCAGGCGGGATCTATGGGAGATAGGAGTTGAAGGAAACTGGATTTTGTTGGCCCAGGACAGGGTCCGGTGGAGGGCTTTGGTTAATTCGGTGATGAACCTTCGGGTTCGGTAAGCCATCTAGTTAGTTAGTTAGTTATGATGCAGATTTTAAAATTAATAAATTATATTACATTTTGCCAGCTGTCATTAATTACTGTGTCAACATACAGCTGAAACATTAATGACAAGCAAAGATACTATTTTAAAATATACGCCTAGATTTTCTTTCTTGCTGTATCCGTTTTTCACACCCACACATTCAAGCCCCATTTACTAAAGAGTACATTAAATCCTTTAAGATTCAATTTTCCCTGTCTCCTGTCACAGGCGTCCTCTTAGGTCCAACCATTTTCCTCTGAACCTGATTTTCTAATGCTATTATCTGTTATTCATCAATGAAAATAGAGGCAGCGTATTCCTCCGAAACATTGCTACGAATTACTACAAAGAAGACGAATATAGACATCTTTACCACTGTGACAACATCAAATCCCATCATTCATCTGCATTCACACCTATACGAAACAAAAGTAACATTTATAAAATTGTATATTTTTAATTTTTAAGTTTTTAGATAAGAGACAGAACGAGTAGAAAGATTTTGAGCTGAATGGAAGCGGTCCACGTTCTAAACTTGCGGGATCATCGCGTCGCTGTCTGGCTTAAGGCCAGCCAGCCAGCCACTCTTAATACGGAGAGGTCAGTCAGTGTGGAGTCTAAGAAACAAGATGGATGACAGGGGTTCGATTCCCGGCAGGAATGAATTATCTTCGTCACAACGCCAAGACCGACTCTGGGATCCATCCAGTCTTCTATAAAATGGGTACAAGTATTCATTACTTGAGGTTAATGCGTCCGGAGTGTGTGAAGCTTCATCTAGAGAAAGCTTGGAGTTATGCCGGAGTGTGTGAAGCTTCATCTAGAGACGGGGGTTTAGAAAGCTTGGAGTTATACCTCCACTTCCCCATACATCTGCGTGACATGGTACTTACGTAAGGACGAGGGACAAATATTTCTTTTATTTAGTAGGAGCTGAGGTTCTGAACGTAGTGAGTATGAATATTGATGCCTTATGGGTTGTACGACCGTGTAGTTTGGTAGATACTTACAAGTGTTTTAACACCCTAATGTTGGCGGCAGCAGGTGTCTCTGAAACGTCGGCAAACTTCTGCCAGACTACACGGCGCTACAGCGCAGCAGACAGTCATAATATTTATCTTTACTTCGTTGTATTTTGAAGAGGGGAGTCGTTAAGTATTGTAGATTTGTTAATAAATGGCTTACGACTCGAGACTGTCAGGTTTTCAACGAGTTTCAATGGCGTAGACTGACTATCGAAGTAGTCATAAAGGTACCATGACTTCCGCTCCAAAATATCTTTGTCACTAATTGTACGGTTTGTACTCAATTTATAAAACTTTCCAATAAAATATATTATTATTTTGTTTGTAGTTTCAGGCAGACACTAGGCAATGCGTGTTGAATTAAGCGTTTATTACACGGATGTCAGACGCATTTTAAATATGTAATTCTAAAACACAAAACAGCTATTTTACGTCATTTTTCGAATGACAAAACCTTTGGAGGAAATCTCTCTTTACCCTGAAATTTATCCCACTTCTGATCCTAAATAAATATTTATCTAAATTCAATCTTAATATACCCTCTAATCCACTAACACTATTGAAGAGTTCTCCCTTTCGCAAGAAGAAAAATCTTTGTTTATTCATTGTATTTGAATAAGACTTTTGAAAAGCGAGATTCCTCGGAATGGTTTAGGTTCGAGATTTAACAAGCATGTCATCTACTTTGTCGATCTACTTTCATGTAAAGCTGGAAAGTAAAATATTCCTCAACATTTGTGTATTGGTTGGACGAACAACACAGAAGTTATTGGCGTTAGTTAGGCCTTTCTTGAAGGCAGGAAAACTCCACGTCATTTATATGATCGCACTGACAGTTGATACGGTTCCGATCCACCGCCCTCCACGCACGAAACACCCGCGTATTAAAAACGTCACGTTTATCTAGAAGCCTGTGCACTGCAGTGTTTCCTGTACTATTACGATAGACCCTCCTGTCGATGAGAGTGCTACTTTGCTCGACTGGACGGACACAGTTGCTTCCCATGCGATGATGATGGTATTTAATGAGCGTAACAAATACGCACGATACGAAAACTGTGGCTCCCAAAGCTTCCAGGAACAATCCTCCTCTCTCGCGGCTACTGGATTCAATTTTTTTTTACGAATAATGTATTGTTATAGTCTTTTATTCATCATTTTTCTCGCTAGTTTTTCATGAAAATAAAATGTGTACAACTATTTCACTTTTTTACGCTCTCAGTTGTCTGTGAAGTATCTATTTTGGTTTCTTTGTCACTCGCCAGACAAAGTGTTATGCTTCCATGGTCTCATCCCCCCCAACCCCTCCCTACACCTGTTCTATTTCAGTGCTTTGGAGGGGGTGGAGTGAGAAGTCACAGGGCGACGAGAGAGTGTTTTGTTTGTATTTAGCGAATATCTGAAACTGGAAAAATTTCTGAAATCTACAATTTCGTATTTTGCCTCAGAATTCTGCAGATGAAGCCACCGCCAATTTCGACGAAATCCATCTGAGTTCTGAAAACTTCCCCTACGGAAACAGATCGCATACTTCACGGTATAAAAATTGTATCTAATCACAACGACACTTAAGCGATCGAATTCCTAAACACGAACAGATATAATAACGCTACATATTCACAAAATCCGACAAATGAACGCAAACGAGGAGGTTATGACCGTCCTTCTGTCTGCAACTTCGTATTCCAATGTATTTATTACATCTCTTAATCCAATAGATGGATTTAAATGAAATTCAGTATTTGCAGATAAATGTATGTGTATACGCGTAATTTTAATTCTCCGTGGTTTAAACCCTGAAGGCCGATGTCTGGTGTCACTAATGACAGATTTAGGACTGCTAATTAATTGCTATAAGACGCAAATGAATACAGAGACCCAAGTATTATGTCGTCATAATTTAACACCTCACCTGTTCAACGAAACCCCCAGCATTGTAATCCGCGACACCAGCTTGTAAAATGTGTACCAGGGGGTCTCAGTCTTTACAAGATCTGGGGCTGTGAAGTCGCCATTTTGCATATTAATCAGAGAAAAAAATTACATGACATTACATTATGTAGTTGCAAATAAAATTCTTTGATACTTAATATTTAATATTTTCCGTCAAATCACAATTTTAATAAGATAATAAAATATAAATTATTTAAAATATCATTTCACGTTCCGCATCGAATGATCGATTTACAAATTGGAACGTCTCTTACGACATGTTTCGGTTATATTTAACCGTCCTCAGGTATAAATTAGATTGGTAAAATTTAACCTAATTCACAATATGACGCAAATATACTACCTTAAAAATTCTTTGAGTTTTTCTCCCTTCTAGTGCTAATTACAATCCTTAATTTATCATAATTTGTTCGTAATGATTGATTAAAATGTGAGAGGTTTGAATGGGACACCTTATATATCGACAGTCCGCATGGGGTCCGCGAGTCACGCGTTAAGAGTCCTGCTTCACATTACACACAAGACTTTTTTGGGTCAGGAAGATGGACTACAAGTCGAAACATTTCCTTACAGGGGACTGGGGAAGAACATTCCTTGAACATAGCGCTAAGTGCCAGCTAATGCTCGAAAATACGTTAATGAAGATTTCCGACTAAACATTTCCGTTAGTGGAACGGAGTGAAGCGGAAATTTGGTGTAAAACCTGAAGGTGTGAGACCACTTCGAAAGAAAATAAATATATAATAATTTATTTTAAATAAAGATAAAATTAGGGCGTGGCTTTAATTCGTGTGACTCGATTCTGTGATCTGTTAAATTACTCTACGATATAGGCTCGTTTTGAGCACCTGACAAACCATAGTCATGAAATTCTCCATTGCTATTAAACACAAAGATTTATCATCAATTTGGAAAAAAAATATTCTTCCTTTAACAGAAGTTTTAAGCATTGTAATGCAATGCACACAATATCGCCCTATTTATACAACGCCCAAGGCCCGTATCAACTTACCTATGCCAAGGGTTTCCGCACATTCTTCGAGGTCTTCCATATCAGAATTTTGTAAGAGTATAAATTACGAAAAAGACTGAAT